TGCTGCTGATGATGATGATGATGATGATGATGATGATGGTGGTGGTGGTGGTGATGATGATGATGACTGATGATGACTGATGATGGTGCTGATGATGCTGCTGTTGATGCTGATGGTGATGATGCTGCTGGTGCTGGTGATGGTGACGACGACAACGACGATGATGATGCTGAGATGATGATGATGATGCTGATGCTGATGCATACGATGATACTGCTGCTGATGCTGATGCTAATGCTGATGCTGACGCTGATGCGGATGCTGATGCTGATGATGCTGATGATGATACTGTTGATGATGTGATGATGATGCTGCTGGTGATGATGATAGCAACGCCAACGATGCTGATGCTGATGCTGATGCTGATGCTGATGCTGATGCTGATGCTGATGCTAATGCTTCTGCTGATGATGATGATGATGATGCTGATGCTGATGCTCATGCTCATGCTTATACTGCTGATGATCATGCTGCTGCTGATAATGATTATGATGATGGTGATGGTGATGATGATGATGATGTTGATGACGATGATGATGCTGATGATGATGATTATGATGATGATGATGATGATGATGATGATGATGATGATGATGATGATGATGATGATGTGCTGATGCTGATGCTGATGACGATGACGATGATGGTAGGGATGCTGATGCTGATGATGCTTATGATGCTGCTGTTAATGCTGATGCTGCTTTTTTTTGATGAGGTGATTCCCTACCTAGGCTCTGCCTAGAAGGGTTCTTACTTCGTAGCTTAAAGGGCCGGGCAGTGGGGCACGCCCCGGGCGGTTCCCCCAGTATCCGCCCCGCGGTTCCCCCAGTGACGTTCCTTTAGCTTCGCGTTGCTTATCTTATCTTAGCTTAGCTTATTTCATCTTACCTTAGCTTAGCTTCATCTTACCTCAGTTCCCTACCTAGGCTCTGCCTAGAAGGGTTCTTACTTCGTAGCTTAAAGGGCCGGGCAGTGGGGCCCGCCCCGGGCGGTTCCCCCGGCATCCGCCCCGCGGTTCCCCCAGTGACGTTCCCTTAGTTTCGCGTTGCTTATCTCTTCTTAGCTTAGCTTATTTCATCTTACCTTGGCCTAGCTTCATCTTACCTCAGTTTTATCTTAGCTTAGCTTACCTTCATCTTAGCTTCGCTGAGCTTTAGCATAGCAGAGCACAGCATAGCATAGCGTAGCATAGCATAGCGCAGCATCGCATATCATAGCATGGGTGTAATTCCCTACCTAGGCTCTGCTTAGAGGGTTAGCTTAGCTTAGCTTAGCTTAGTTCCCTACCTAGGCTCTGCCTAGAAGGGTTCTTACTCGGAGGCTTAAAGGGCCAGGCAGTGGGGCCCGCCCCGGGCGGTTTTCCCGGCATCCGCCCCGCGGTTAGCTTAGCGTTGTTCCCTACCTAGGCTCTGCCTAGAAGGGTTCTTACTCTGTTCGCTTAAAGGGCCGGGCAGTGGAAAGCGCCCCGGGCGGTTCCCCCAGTCCCCTGGGAGCGGTTCCCCCAATCCCCTGGGAGCTTGAGCTTTAGCTTTAGCTTAAGCTTTAGCTTTAGCTTAGCTTGAGCTTAGCTTTAGCTTAGCTTTAGCTTAGCTTAGCTTTAGCTTAGCTTTAGCTTAGCTTTAGCTTAGCTTTAGCTTAGCTTTAGCTTAGCGTTAGCTTAGCTTTAGCTTAGCTTTAGCTTAGCTTTAGATTAGCTTTAGCTTAGCTTTAGCTTAGATTTAGCTTAGCGTTAGCTTATCTTTAACTTAGCGTTAGCTTAGCGTTAGCCTAGCTTTATCTTAGCTTTAGCTTAGCTTTAGCTTGCTTAGCATTAGCTTTAGCTTTAGCTTGAGCTTTAGCTTGGCTTTAGCTTAGCTTTAGCTTAGCTTTAGCTTAGCTTTAGCTTAGCTTTAGCTCAGATTTAGCTTAGCTTTAGCTTAGCTTTAGCTTAGCTTTAGCTTAGCTTTAGCTTAGCTGTAGCTTAGCTGTAGCTTAGCTGTAGCTTAGCTTTAGCTTAGCTTTAGCTTATGTTTAGCTTAACTTTAGCTTAGCTTTAGCTTAACTTTACCTTATAGTTAGCTTAGCTTTAGCTTAGCTTTAGCTTAACTTTACTGTTACTACTAATGCTGCTTTCCTAGGGGCTCCAACTCCTAGGTAGGCTGCACTAGGATAATGGTGGTGATGATGATTGTGATGATGATGCTGATGATGCTGCTGCTGATGCTGATGCTGATGATGCTGATGCTGATGCTGCTGCTGCTGCTCATGATGATGATGATGATGATGATGATGATGATGATGATGATGATGATGATGATGATGGTAATGCTGATGCTGATGCCGATGCTGATGATGAGGATTATGCTGATGATGATACATCCCCAGGACAAAAGTGTTTTCCTCTTGGGCCCGTAGCGAAGGTTTGAAATCTTGAGCAGACGCGTATGAGATACTCGCCGTCGGATCCAATGAAGCTCGCGCGGATCCAATTTTGGTTTTGGTTTGTGTTTCGGTGGATCCGATTTCTGTCTGCGCGGTTCCGATTTCGGATTTTTTTGGATCCGCGTCCGACCTTAGTTTTTTTACGGTTGATCCGATGTTTACCTTGTTTTAAATTTATACTAATCAATTTAAACAGGGGACCAGAAGACATAGGATCCGCGGACCCCGCAAACCGCTTGTGTTAAGATTCTACGGGGGAGGGGCGTTCGGTAATCAACTTTCCACGCTGGGCCCTGCGTCGTCTCGCGCACTCCCATAAACTCCCCGCGCGAGCGGGCCCTCAACATGAATACATACATCCCTCTCTCCCCGGTTGCTGCAAACAGCTCGTCCGGTCGCCGTCCGTTCGGCGGTGCCGACGTTGTCTCGCGAACTCCTCATGGCCATTTCCATCTCAAGAGGAAAATCTTTCGTCCTGCGTAAGCGCGTTTCGGCCCTGCGTTTCCTGACCCAACGGGGACGTCTCGAGCGGGAACTCCTGACTGCGCGTTGCGGGGGAATTGTGGTGAGGTGTGGTGTGTGGGCAACGTGGCAACCAACATGTCCGAAGACCAAAACGCCTATGCGTTTCGGCCCTGCGTCTCCTGACTCAACGGGGACAACTCGAGCGGGAACTCCTGACTGCGCGTTGCGGGGGGGTTGTGGTGAGGTGTGGTGTGTGGGCAACATGGCAAACAACATGTCCGAAGACCACAACGCCCATCCCCAGGACGAAAGTTCTTCTTCTTGGGCCCGGAGCGAAGGTTTGAAATCTTGAGCAGACGCGTCTGAGATACCCACCTTCGGATCCAATGAAGCTCGCGCGGATCCAATTTTGGTTTTGGTTTGTGTGTTCGGTGGATCCGATTTCTGTCTGCGCGGTTCCGATTTCGGATTTTTTGGATCCGCGTCCGACCTTAGTTTTTTACGGCGGATCCGATGTTTACCTTGTTTTAAATTTATACTAATCAATTTAAACAGGGGACCAGAAGACATCGGATCCGCGGATCCCGCAAACCACCCTTGTTAAGATTCTACGGGGGGGGGGGTCGGTAATCAACTTTGCACGATTGGCCCTGCGTCGTCTCGCGCACTCCCATCAACTCCTGTCATCCTGGTCAGGACGGGCTCTGGGAGATGTCGACGGTGACGGTGACGGAAGAGGGAGGATGATGATGGTGAGGAGGGAGGAGGAGGACGAGGAGGAGGAGGAGGAGGTGGAGGAGGAGGAGGAGGAGGAGGAAGAGGAGGAGGAGGAGGAGGAGGCGGAGGAGCGGGAGTGGCAGAAAGGGCAGCCTCGAAACACCGTCTGAAGACCAAACAGCACTCGGCAGGTGGACGACCACGTCGCCTCCCACACGTCCGCCCGTAGAGGTACGCCTTGGGAGACCACGAAGCCGTCCACGACCGGGCGAACTCGTCGCCTCCCACACGCCCGCCCGTAGGGGGGGACCGCCCTGGGAGACGACGAGCCCGTCAAGCGGGCGGCCCTCAGATGAGAACCGCGTGGATGCCGACGGTCGGCGCGAACACCGGACGCGCCGCCAGTGGGCGCCGCGCGGAAGACCTGCTCCGCGACGGCTTCCTCGAGGCACGGGGCTACCGTCCCCGACGGCGGCGCCCCCGTGCCGCCCGGGAGCTCCAGCCAGCTGCACGCGGCGGCCCCTCCTGTTCCGGCGTGCGGCGGGCAAGGCCCACCGCGGTGGCCGCCAGCGCCGCGAAGGGGGAAGGCGGGACCGCGTCGCCGGTGCCACACCACTCCGCCACGATCGCCTCCGCAATCGCTCGAGCGGCCGCCGTCGCCTCGGGCGCCGAGGGCGCCAAGGTGGGCGGCCGCGAGCCCCGCTTCCGCCTGAGCAGCCGCCGCTTCCGCGGGCGCCGCGGGGGCCATCGGAGCAGCCGCCGCCTCAGCGGCTGGGCGAGGGGCCTCCCGCCGCGAGGCGTCGGCCCACCTCCGCGTCCACGCCAACGGCAGGCGCCCCATGCCGCCGCCTGCCGCGCTGCACGGCGCTGGCGGCGCCGCCGACGCTCCGCGGCGCGAGCCGAGGGGTCGGGTGCCGCCGCGCCTGCGCGGCCTGGGCCGGATAGAGCATCGCCACCTCCAGCGGCGGGCGCCGCCGCGGCCTGCCCCGCGCGGTCCCGCAGCGCGAAGAGCGCAGCGGACACCGCGGAGCGCGCCACGGCCGCAGCGGTACGCCTCTGCATGCCCGCGGCGCCGCGCACCGCCGCCGCGACCATGGCGCAGCAGCGGCGGCCTCCATCGGCCGAGCTCCTCGGGCGCCTCGCACGGTGGCCACCGCGGGGACGGCGGAGGCAAGGGGCATGCGGACGCTTGAGCCAAAATGGCTACGGAGAAGGGGAGAGGGGGAGAAGGAG